ACTGCAAACGCATATAATTTGACAATTACGCTCATATACTTCGCGGTCGAAATTATGGAGAGTGACTCATTGCTAGTTCTTGCACTAGTAAGGAGGATGAGTCGTGCGGGAATAAAAAATCCATAGGCGTATCAGTTTAGAAGACAACAAGATATGGAAAATATGGAAAAAGATAATAAAACATAACATCTATTATTTTTAGAGAATTTAGCAACATTTTGTTTTTAAATTTTAAGTGTTTTCTGTAAAATAATGCCATCGCATAGGTAAGGGTGTTAGGGTATGACTAACAGACCGTTTGCTACAACCGGCATTTTGATCCATTTAATTTTTTTAATTTATAAATTTATTATAGCCATGGAATTAACGCTCCGCGCGTACATTTATCCTATGGCGTTTTTAAAGATGCGACGGCTAATTCAAGTACTACGAACGTACGTCCGTTTACACCCACTAAAAAGCATTTTCCTATAAGTATTATAAGACAGAGATAGAAGATAGATGGAAGTTCAGTGTAAGTCAGTCTATAGTTTATGTTGCAGCAAGAGGGGAAAATATCGTCTTCTCGTTTCTGAACCGGTTTAGACAGAAATTGTTTTATTAAAAAAATATGATTAGGCTATTTGTACTATGTACTACCTGTATGTACTTTTAGAAATTGATAACAATTCTGAATAAGTCTAGAATGATCAGAGCACGTTGCTCTGGAAACAAAAGCATCAGACTTTGAATATGAAGATTTATCTTTAAGAGATTTCGCAAAATTATATTTTTTTTCTGTGCTCAATTTTTTAGTTAACTTTTATGTAAAAATTTAATTTAAAAAAAACTTTAAATTGTTTATTAATTGTAGAAAATTCATATTTTATATTTTTGTTATTCATAAATAATTAATTTTTGTTTATTTTTGTGATTTTAAATAATTATATTTATCTTTCGTTAATTCGTGTTTTATTAATTTGAGATTTTTCAATTTTTATACCAGAGTTTGTTTCCAATTTTTCCTGGTTCTTTTCTGAATTTTTTAATCTCTGGACATAATATGACTTATTAATACATTTTTATTACAATTTTTTTTGTTAATTACTGTTGCAAATTTCCTTGTACACTTTGAAATACATTCCTCTTTTTAGTGAAAATTTTAAAAACTTGAGCGTACAGTTACCCAAGTCCTCAAAATTGGGATAAATTACATGCATGAAAACCTCGCTACGTGTAATAAACTAATGATTTGTTTATTTACAATTAATTAAGTGGGAGATTTGTTATGCAAATGAATTAATTAACATTACCGCATAGCCTGTTCCTGATTTATATCTTTGATAAACTTCTGTTAACCTTTATCGCTTCAAAGTATTTATTTATCTACTGGGATTTCTCACAATACTGTCGGTAAGGTGGAAAGTAGTCCCCAATGTATTATTTTTAGTGTTTGGGGAATTCTCTATTGCAGCAGGATATTTCGTAATATATCCGAGAAGAGGACTGAATGTAATAAGACATTTTTCTGGTAAAATACGCTCGAAAATACGTGGAGTATTTTATATTTTTAAGCATAATCGCGCAAGCCACAGAAATGTAATACTCGTAACGTATACCGCGGCAAAGAAAAAAGTCGTGTTTCTGAAATATGTAAGTAAAAAAATAAATTTTATTATAAGGAGTAAGCTTGGAATATTTCATTCAATTCAATTCAGTAAATTTATTTTCAACCCTGAAGTTAGACAGTATTAAAGCATTTAGAACTGTTACGTGTACAGACTTAAGAAAGTCCAAAGAAACGTTGGACTTCTTATTGTTGTAATAATTCAATTATAAATTCCTCCTCCTCTCGAAGTTGAATTTGCAGTGTCTTATTTCCTTTCGTCTGTACGCGTGAACTTTGCGATATATTTTAGTAAATTGAAAGTGACTCCCATAGCAAGTTTCATATATAACAATACAGAAAGTTTTTAACGAAGATTACCCATAATGGTATTTAGGTACTATCTACATTGGTCAGATTTGTAATGAAAGACGGAATAATAGCTTTCTTTTCTAATTTAATATTGCAGGAGTTTTTGGAGATGTATATCAAAGTACAGGGCATTTTAAAAATATGGACTAAAATGAAACAGGAGATAGAAAATAATATTTTTTATTATACCTACATTTTTAATTACTAAATTTTGACCAAAAAATTATTTCACATTTTCCCAATTTTTCAGATGTATGAAAAACTCCTTGATAATTCCAGGTTCTCTGCAAAACGTTTTGCTTTATTGAAAACCTTGTAAAATGTCTCGTTTTTTTTTTATAAAAAAACAACGTTAATTACCCCTTTGCATATCCGTTAATATCTTTAGCACAGAATTTTAAAGACGCATGTATTTTACATTTATCTGGATTGAACAACTTATACATAAGTTTTAAAGCTTCTCGTGTTTAAACTTTTTTATTTTTTTATACAGGGCGTCCAAAAAATATGAAATTTCTCCTAAGCAAAGTGTCTTTAATTTTTGTTTTCATAAAAAAATGTATTTAACAAAGTTGTTCGAGAACTCAAGAAATGCTTAAATGTTTAGTCAGAAAATAACAATAATCACATTTTACAAATAAAAAGACGGCGTCTTACATATCATAGTCATTCACTCAATTCTCACTTTCTTTTCTTCATAAGCTATGTCAGGGTGTAATAGACAGCTGTGATTTGATTAGTTATTTATATTTTCATGTTCCTCGTGCAACATCCAGACATGAGCAGAGTTTTTATTTATCAACTTCTCGTACGAATATTCTCAAATACTCTCCTATGTGCAAAATGTGCAGTTACTATAATAACCATCAAGAGTCTTTGGACCTATTTGCAAACGTATCAACAAATAATAATCATTGAGTGAACATGCATTATATTCATGCTGATTTAGGTTAACTATATTTGTATACATATTATTTTATTGTTTTTCTTCTTTTTTATTGGGTATTGTGTTATTTAGTTATTACATGTAGATATTGTATTTTTCTGTATGTACCCATTACAACATAAAAATAAAATAAAAAATATAATTACCACGGATATTCCCTTATCAATGTCAAAGTCAACATACATATTTATTTTTATTAACTGCCCACTGAACAAATTTTATTAATAATGCTAACCCGTTGACCAACGATTTTTATCTAAATGCTATGGAATCAGTACCGTTTCATATCGATATGCAATATAAATTTTTAATGAAAAGTATCCAAACGTAGCTGTAACTCGTAGAGCAGTTCGGAAGCTAATTATCAAATTCGACACCACTGGTGATGTAGAGAATTTTAGAAAGTTAAAAAAAATACAATGATAACGATGCTTATACTGTTGTAGTTATGGATTCTGTACAAGACAATCCAAAGGTGTCACTCAGGAAAAGGTCAGAAAACATAGAGGTTAGCAGATCTTATACACAAAGAAATTTAGTATACAACAAAATCTATCCATTCAAACCAGTGTTTAATCATAAATTGCTTGATGGAGATGATGGTCATCGTTTGGACCTTTGTTTAAGAATGGGCGAGAAACCGATTGAAAACAGATTCTTTCATCACAATATTTTATTTACTGGCATGGTTTCCTCTCAAAGTTATAGATACTGGGTTAAAGATAATCCAGATTTTCGATTGATAACTAATTCAAAAGTTTAAAAAAGTAAATGTCTGGTGTGGCATAATGTATCATAAAATAATTGGTCCTTACTTTTTGGAAGAATATCTTAATCAAAATTTATATTTTGAAATTTTCAATAATTTTGTTTTGACAGAACTAGATTTCGAAAATTTAGAGATCAGAAGAAAATAAATACTTCAACAAGACGGATGCCTTGCACATGCCATACTCCTAGTGAGAAACTAGCTTGATGTTCACTTCTCGGACAAATGGATTGGACGATATGGTGGTCCATACCTTGTGCACCCGACTTGTCCCCATTAGATTATTTCTTACAGGGATACCTAAAGCAAAACGTGTATTCAAACGATTTTGACGATAACATTGATTTACTTAAGCAAAAAATTCAGGAAGCTTTTGTCACCATAAACGAAGAAATGATCTCATCCGTATACAAGAAAATTAGAAAAATATTAGAAGAAAGTGTATTACTTGGAGGTTTGCAAGTTGAACAGGACTTTCTTCGTTGTTGTTGCTAATTCCATTTCTAATTGTCAATTGTCATTTTTATTTTTTAATTAGAAAAGCTACTTTGTTAATGGTAGAACAATTTCCGGGCAGATTGCCACGTCGTCGGTTTAGGTTTCTTGACGTTTCAACAGACATGTCGCCCTTTTCAAAAACTCGAAAACTTTCAGTTACTTCTGAGGAAGAGAGCGATATGTCTTTCGAAACGTCAAGAAACCTAAACCACGACGTGGCAATCGGCCTGGAAATTGTTCTACTAAGCTATTTTTCTATTATATTAAATTTAAAATAAAAGTTTACTTAATTTTTACAATTTCTGTCTGCTGTAAGATAGTTAAAAATCGCGTCTTCTTATTTGCAAAATGTAATTATGTTTCTTTATTGACTAAACCCCGTATTTAAGCATTTCTTAAGTTCTCGAACAACTTTGTTAAATACAGTTTTTAACGAAAACTAAAATTAAAGGGAAAATTTCACACTTTCAGATATTTTGGACGCCTTATATGTTTTATTACATTTGTTTCCCAAGATAAGCAAAACTTTTTATCAAGAATAACTTTCTCTGGAAAAATCAACAATAAAAAAAGTTTAAAAGAGTGCAGTACACCACCCAGGTTCGCACTGTCACCTGTCAGAATATGTATCAAATTTGTTACACTTTGCCACAAAGGTACTTCATGTCAAAAATATAGTTTTGTTATTTATTTTTACCAATACCAAAATAGCAATGAAACTCTTTCAATTTTTGTGAGAGTGCATCGAAAGCAGATATTTTGTTATATTCAAGAGACACAAGTAATTTTTACAGGTTTATAGTAATATGATACGTTTGTAAAGTACGTACTTTGACATTCCAAATAGGTAGAATTCCTCACACTAATCTTCCTCTTCGTGGCCCCTATCATCGACAGCCTAAGCGAAGTCCTTTGGAACCCGCTGTGTCTATAATCAAAATTAAACTCGTCGTAGTTCTTGCCGCGACACTGCAAACCATTTTGGCACACAAAACCGTTACTGTCGCCAATGAGTTCATTTTCAGAGATCAAACTTAAAGGTTCGCAGTTTTCCTTGATCGGGATCTGCAGAATTTGGGCAGCCTTAGGCGCTATGACGGGCGGAGGGGTGCTGACTTTGATTTTCTCGCTTTTCCTCATCTTGGGCTTCGCTTCCAGCTTCACCATCGGGGTTTTCAGGATGGTCTCCACGGGTTCCTTGATATAGAACTCGGGAAGGATAGAAAACTGGTGCCTGTCTTCGCCGTTGAAAAACTTGTAGTCGTGTAGGCTGGACATGGAGGGCGATTTCTGTAACGGGTCTTCATTGTTGTTTTTGTGGTTCGTCAGGAACTTTGTTCCTATGAAACGAAGGGAAGCACGTACGGATTTGGACCTTTTCAGGTGGTGGGTGGGTTTTCTTCTTTCTGTTAAAACATCAGCCATGGTTCTCACTTCTTTGGTACTTTTAGTCTTACCCATCACAGCTTTCTACTGAAGCAGGCATTTGCACTGGCATTTAAAACAGTTGTATGTATAATTTTCGGCTAAATTCACTAATTTTCTAACTTAAACACAACTTGTACTGATGAAATAAATGCGAATCAACTATTTAATATGCGTTTTGAGCGCTCCCCGACGACATACCACTTTCAGGGCAGAAATATTCTAACAATTTAGTCGGTTGGCGATATTTGAAAAAGTTTGGTTATGTTTACGTTGAAACCGTCGCGTCTGCCCGACTAGCGCGTGGTTACCAACAGCTGTCCGCAGAGACTGTTATTGTGCCTTGTGCCGATGCCTCACCTAACCAAATGAATGTGCAAGCAGTAAGGGGGACTGTACCATAAAATACACATCTTACTGGCTAGGCTGCCATTGCGGAGGCAAACTGGCGCTTATGGATGGCGGAGGTAAGGACCACTTTGCGAAGCCGGATTCGAGACGGCAGGTAAACGTGGTTACTACACAAGACGGGAGTAAGAAAGTCGGCGAATAAATTGTTTAATTTTTCTTGCCCGAGGTGGCATTGATTTGTGTGTGAATGTAATAGTGTTAATTCGTATACAGGGTGTTTAATTTAAGTTAGTGAACTCATAAGGGCGTAGCGATTACGTCAAAAATTGAAAAAAAATATTTATTATACACCATCCAACAGTGCAAAAATTGACAACAACAAACAACAAAATATTTGCAGAAATAAAGTAAAAATTTAACTCTTATTTTCATTGTATCTCTAATAATGTCACAGATTTTTAAAGGAACATTATTATTAATCTTGCGTTGGGTCCCCAGGGTGTGTTTATAAAGCATTCTCGGTTACATAAACATTGAATGTCTCGATGCCGATTCGATTTTGCTAAATAAGTTAGTTGTTACTGAGGTTCGTCATTAGACTGTTCATACTAAGTGATTAATAAAAGTTGGAAATTAAATTCCTAAACGTTTATTTAGGCCCAAAGACCAGTTATCCTGATAATAAGTAGCATATTTACAAATAAAATTTATTTTTTAAATATCCGCAGCAATTTTTCATTTTTCTTATTTGTGCATCAAGATACCGACAAGCGACATACTGATTTGTGTTCGTTTTAGTTTTTATGTATAATTAGTTATATTTTGCTTAATAAATTGCTCTAAATGTTTTAAATGTGAATTACATAAACATATCAAGTTTTTAAATTTTATTTACTTTCATTTACGTACCTTGAAATATATCCGAGAAAAAATTCTTATTTCTTTTATTTTATCCACTTGTCGTATACCCCATTAATTATTTCGAAATAGGATGTTCAAGTAGATTAATATCTAGTAATCTAGTGGGCTATAGTATAGTAGGTATAGTACACAGGTATTATTCATTTAGTGTTTTCTTATTACACGATACAGAATTATTAATTGAACAGAATAGACACCTTAACGCAACATTATGAAAATTTTTACTTTCAACGAAAAAGAATGAAATGTAACATTTTATGTTTTGATAATAGAAGCTGATGAAGTTTTTGTCACATAAACTATAAACTTTTTTGTAGTAACTGGTAACAGTTCGAAATTTTATGGAATTATATGAAGCAATTTATATCTGAATATTGTTCTGACATTGAAAATATTTCAAGAAAAGTCCGATCGGGATACTTCAGTGCCAAGAAAGACTTTATTACACATAATTTTAAATCAATCGAGTAGGTATAGACAAGTTGAGAATGAAATATTTACTTTCGTACCTGGTAGTTAAGTCATCAACGAAGATTCATGTCACTGAAACCATATCAAAAATTAGGTTACAAGATCACAGAAAGTTTTCACCTCTGGGCTAAAAAGACAATGCGACAAAAAACCGAATCGAAATAAAATAGGTTATATAGAATGGATTGCTTTCAAATCGTTTGTTGGTAGAACGTTAAATTAGATTTTTTGCTCTACTTTTTTATGAAACGGGTTATGGAAATCATGCTGTCAAGACTGCTGAAATTTGCTAAGTAGAAGGTTAGAAAAAATTTAATGTAGGTTATTATTTTAATTATTTATTATTTTAGTACAAGTTCGGTACAGGATCATTTAATAAATCGAAGTTCTAACAGTAACATAATAACAAAAGAGGTGCGTTGTGGGTACAATAAACAATTACACCGCTTTTTTTTACCTGGTATTTGCAGTTACTGATTCAAGAATGTAAATACTAGAATGCCGCAAATAATTAAAAAGTGTTACGTTAAATAATATTTGGGATATTTGAATTTTATTTAATTCTTCTTGCGAAAAAAAACAAATAATGAAAATTTTCATGTGAGTATCTAAACGACACAATTCTCGTATTTTGCAATTGGAACAATGCCATGAAATTTTATTGTGTTGTTTGAATTATGTGGTTTGTTTAATTTAACATGACTTAAAGTAAACGAATTTTAATTCCAATCTGACAATCATTGGTTTTTCCATAGACATTTGGGTACCAGCCCTTTGCAATATTTACAGACATCCCCCAGAAAAGGAAGCTGTTATTGCCCTGTAATTACTAAAGTCATTAAGTAGGGGGATGGGGTCGAGGTTTGTAAATATTTAGATTTATTAAATTTTAATTGTGCCCTTCAGACTTGATTGCTGCAACCCTTAATATCTGCTAAAGGATATTTTATGATGTATTTCATTACACCGTATTATGAGACATAATTAATATTAAAGCGGATATTTAATTTTACAAATTAGTTAAAATGAAAAAAAGAAAAACGAAAAACGGAAAGAGAATTTAAAAAAAATAGGCCAAAAAAATAGAAGTGATAGATTTATCTGTGACAATAATAAACAAAAATAAAAAAATGGAACTTTCAAAATGCACTGACACAATAGTAAATTGTGCAATAAGTACGGTAAGTTGTATATTGCCCAGTTGAGCGGACGAGTGGACTCATTCATGTCATGTTGACTGTTTTCTTTGACTCTCGTGGTGTTGTCTATACAGAATTCCTTCCGGATGGGGAAACAGTCTACAGAGTGTATTATCTGGGCATTATGACGTGTTTGAGAGAGAAGAGAGACATAGATAGAGGAGACATATTGATTGTTACATTTTTACAAACAAAAAATAATATTACAAGAACGTTTACAGTCACAAACAAAACAGTTGATGACTTAAATCTACTTACAAAATATAACAAATATGTTTCCCTTAGACCTACCCACACTCTTCATAATCGCCTCTTCATTTATTATAAGAACAATAAACCCACAGTGTAACCTATCGGAAAAAATGTATTTAGCAACATTCCAAGCAAAATACTCATTTTTTAAAACTACCTGAACCTAATACATACATAGGACATTGCTTCCACTGTAGTTCCACAATCCTACTAGCTAACTCTGTAAGTGATTTACTAACACTTAAAAACAAGGAGATTGGCGTTCTTCTGCAGTTGCATAAGGGTATATCGATGACTGCTTATCAAATAAGAATCACATTTCTCAAAAAATCCTAACAAACCCAAAACAACAGTCTAGTACTAGAGAAAATAACACACCATAGAAATACACAACTAAAGTATTAATTATTTCCGACCAAATAAATGAAATACCAGTTAATCTAGACAATTCCAATGAACCATCAACTTCATCTATAGAAATAAGTCACCATGCTCATAGGACTTCAAACATTTATCGAATACCTGCAAATTTTGGTATTAATAATTGTGCTCAAAGTATAACACAGCCACACAAAAAACAGTAGTCTCTTTTCATGCGACATATGTTATCCGTAGTATTTTTGCCTCCTGATCACGAATCCGGTGCCAGAATTGAGCTATCAAATCACAGGAATTTTCTAACCTCAAAAACGGGTCAAAAATAGTAAAAATTCACGAAAAAGTGCTAAGAAAAATACAAAACAATTTTTTTTTCTATTTTCAAATGTTCATTTATATGGTTAAGACCCCACCGAACGTGAATTTGCGGCCAGAATTGATGGTTCTTTTTCTAACCTAAAAAAACGGGTTAATTTAGGTACGATGTCACGAATTTTCAAAAAATAACAGATTCGCGCCAAATTTGATATGTGGGGGTTTTCGGGATCGCTGATCACGGATCCGAGATCAATTTGGAAAATTCAAGATGGCGGATATAAAATGGTCGACCAAATTTTCAAAAAATAGCACATTCGCACCAAATTTGAAATACGGGGGTTTTCGGGGTCACCGATTATGACTCCGAGATCAGATTTACAAAATTTTTAAAAAATTTAATCAATTACCTATGTTCTTTATTACCTGAGATTAGGCAGAATACGTTTTTTACAGAAAAAGAACAAGATACAACCGAAAAAACAAGGTTAGACATAATTGGGTACTCCGATTATAAAGTAAACAAAAATATTACAAACTGAATTCCGCAATTCTGACCTCGAATTCGCAATCAGCGACCCCGAAAACCCACGTATACCAAATTTAGCGCGAATGTGTTATTTTTTGAAAATTTGGTCAGCCATCTTGGTGCCGCCATCTTGAATTTTAGAAAATTTACCTCGGATACGTGATCAGCGACCCCGGAAACCCCCGTATACCAAATTTGGCGCGAATCTGTTATTTTTTGAAAATTCGTAATATCTGACTTTAATTGACCCGTTTTTTTTTTAGGTTAGAAAAAGAACCATCAATTCTGATCGCGGATTCACGTTTGGCGGGGTCTTAACCATATAAATGAACATTTGAATATAGAAAAAACATTTTTTTGTATTTTTCCTAGCACATTTTCGTGAATGTTTGCTATTTTTGACCTGTTTCTTGAGGTTAGGAAATTCCTGTGATATGATAGCACAATTCTGACACTGGATTCGTGATCAGGAGGTAAAAATACTATGGATAACATATGCTAGGCGAAAAACAGTTGTGTGTCACACATGAAGAAAACGCATTAACTGCTCTTGTGACGTACTACACAGTATAATAATTATGATTTAATAATAAAATTATTTTCCACGCGTTTCAAAATGGGTGTTAGCTAATTAGTGTAAGTTGATATATTGTTATTTTGGGTTTCCGTGAAGGAAATTGCCTAAGGAGTGTGGAAAGGTATCGAAGGACATTAACGATCAAATTTGAGCGATAAATTCATAACCTTTGGTGATTCTGATGATTTTCTGACCCACCCTGTGCATTTCGTAGGAGGCGATTCCAGCTGGCGTACTACCTCACCTCTACTTGCGCAAGAGCTTCAGTACTTCATATTGCGAGATTATGCAGCTGTAAAGTACATTAATAAATAAATTAAT